ATATATATATATATATTCATTTCATTTCGTTTCTCCTCCATTTTTCCCCTCTGCCCAACGCAATCGGACTTCATCCGAGATCCTGTGTGATACAATCGGATAGCACATCAAAGAATTTGGGCGTGGCTTGACACGCCATTTTCAACAAAGCCTGCAAGCTTTCCAATCATGTCCGTTTGCGCTCTGTCTGAAGCTGCTTGCCTTCCTTTTCCTCTTTGCACTTCTGCTTCTTCTTCTTCGGCTGCTCACCTGCAAGAAAAGAACACGCACAGCCGCACAGCAGATTGAATATTGATGATATGACTACTGTCCTCTACTGTCTACGCTTTCATCCAAAGACTTTAGCATAGTGATACAGAGTGAAGTTTAACATGGTTGTTTGAGATTGTCTTTAGTTTATAAAAATAAGCAACCATGTGTTCTTATCTACCGTAGATCAGGAGATTTGACAAAATCTTGCCTAACAAAAACTAATCATTACTCATTTCATATTTTGCCTGGATTTTCATATCATAGTGTCATTCCCAGGGAAAGAGTACCCAGACAAGTGATTAACAAGTGAGTTTAAAAAAACAAATGTCTCTATAAAATGAAATGTAAGGGGTTCTGATTTCAGCAAGTAGGATAAATTGCACCCAAGCTTTACCCCAACACATTTTGTAGCAAGAATACGTGCAGCCCTCCAGCCTTCGGGCAATTCCACTGTGGTAGTACTTTTCTTTGCGCCACTCTCTTTTCCTGATGCAAGGAAAACAGGAAAACATTTACGGGTGCCTTTTGAACCTCCCTCCAACGATCCTCAAATTAGTCTCTTTCTCCATCCCTAAAACTTCATGTAAGCAACATATGAAGTGTCCTAGTGCCAAAAACAAGCCGGCCAATCACGCCACCTTCCCCGAGAGCTCAAAACTATAACACGATCGTCGTTCGAATCAATTTGAAGATGCATGGGTCATAGGCCCTGATGAATCAGTTCACAAGTCGTAGGCCCTTATGTTCGCAATTTGCACACATCCTGGGCCTGAGGTTGCTGAAATTCCGATCGTGGCCTTACAGGGTGACAGAATATTCCAGGCAATGGGTGAAACAAGAGTTGGGCCTTGCAAAAGTTTCAAGTCACCACGTTCAGCATTTGATTCTACATACGGAGAACCCACTAGTCCAGGAGCAAACCTCCACTTCCCCTAAGAAAAGACAAAAAAGACTCAAAATACAAAAACTGCCCTTATACTTCTTGGCACCTTGAATTATCTGTTTTACTATGCTTGATTTATGCGTTTTATGGATTGCCAACAAGTGTTCCTCTTGCGTCTTGCACGCTGCTGCTTGATTGACAGTTTCTTTCCTTTACTCTTACCAACTTCAAGATTTGCCTGATCACGGTCACACCTGAGCAATACAGCACGTTGCACTGAGACAAAACAATAGCACGCCGAAACAGCGAACTGGTAACTTGCTAGGACCGCTTGCAAGGAACGCTCCCCAAACCATTTTGCCTCCAGCTCAAATCCAATGGTGGAATTGCTATCTACACATAACGATCACAATGATGTTTTTTTTCACTGGGGCTGGGGGCTGCGCGCGGGCGCCAAATACTTTCGTCCATTCCAGGCACAAAGTTTTTTACATCGTCAACTCCATGTTACCAAACACGACCCATCTTTTCTGGACACTGTACACGTTGCACCACTCCACGCAGCCACACATCAAACATCACACAAGGGTAGGGGATTGTCAAACCCCTTCGCTGGGACGCCTCCATGTAGAAGCTTTCTTCTGCCACTCTCGCTGGTTCACTGCAAGCCTACATGCTTGCACCTTCTAGCAACTGACATTTCCTCAAGCTTTTCGACTCGTTATTCCACACTTTGCAATATTGCTTCGCACAAGGCACGTCCCAAAGCATTTGCGAAGGCGCTGAATCTCGCAACGGCTGTCCCAAGACCGTTCAAGCCAAGCTGCTTCATTTGCAACCCTTCTCTACTTTCCCGTGGACATGTCTTAGCTTTTCTTTCTGCTCGGCTTCAACTCTGTTCATGATCTCGGCCCACTGCTCACCCCTCCGTCTCACAATTTTTCGCGCTCTACCGGTTGTCTTCTGCTTCCGGAGCCTTATCCAGCATTTCATCACCACTAAGCACATACATTCGCACAGCAAACACAACTTGAAAACACAACTACAATACAGCTGCAACTGCAGTCGCAACCCAATCCGCCAAAGGGCTTCTTGATCCAAAACGCTCTGCTGCGCATGATGCATTTGCGCAGCTTTAACACGGGCGCCTGAGCTCAAACATACAATCTCGGCTCTTCCCGACCTGCTACACACCTGCGCACCCCACATCTTTGGAAACCACAGCCAAGCCACACGTCGCAATAACCTCCACAGCATGACCAATCACCCTGCGCCTCTTGCTATCGCGGCCTCCATCTGGATACTTCTCCATCAAACGGGACAGCAAATCTCGCTCTTGGTGAGGGACGCACTCGCTTCCCGCGTCTTTGCGCGCACCTGCGACTCCATATACACCATGCCCTCTTCAAACATAAACATCCAACCCCTTTCCCTTCTTCTTGATAAAACATACCTTTTAAAAACACCATCCTCCTCCTGCTTGGCCATCTCACCCTGCGTCAACTCCGCAACAGTGCCCACAGAACACAACATCTCCTTGAAGCGCTTTAAATCCAAGTCCCTGCACTGCATGCGCAGTTTCGCACTGCTCCCCTCGCCCAATGCAATTGCGAAATCCACGCGCACCCGAGCTGGCCTCAAAAACTTCCAGGGCGCAAAAAGCACCAAACAACCACAGACCCAAATCCCCCGCATCCACCCAACATTCTCATCTAACGTATAACCAAGACGCAAATACTTCTCCAATAAAGCCCGAGCCCTGAACGTCCCGGCATACTCTGGCGCTTGTAGAATCGGACCATTACCTCACGCTGGCGCACTTTGTCCTCCTCTTTTGCCTCCACTTCCATCACATCTGCTTCTGCGACCTTCTGTCAAAGGATTCAACAACTTAACCTACACTTTACGCTCTGTTTCCATCTTGCTGCCAACCCCCCCCACGCACCCGCCTCGTCCAATTCAAACCATGCCCCAAAAGCTTGCTCACCTTCACCCTTGCAGCTGCATCAGAAGCTTCGCGCATCTTCACAAAGATGTCCTTCTCGCTGCTCAGCACCGTCACCTCCACGCCGCACTCCTGCTCCACAACAAAAACCTCACGAAACCCTACCCTCCTTCAATGACATCCTCACTTCTCTGTTCCCGATGCTGTCCTTCGTGAAGCAACTGCCCAACTCTGCATGGTCGCCAGCTTCCCAGGCATTCGCAACTGCGCCCTCCAACTGCCCAATGAATTTCACCAAGCGAAGCATTGCCAGCGCCCCACTCACTCCATATCCCCTGCAAGCCCGATCCTCCATTACTCAACCTGTGTTCACCTGGCACTACACACATCTCTGCTCAATCATGGTTCATGTCCTTGCTACTCTTCACACACCTTCTTCACAACAAGATGCCACACGGCTCATGGAAAATTATATATCCATACTCATTGTTACAGTATCTGCAGCTCTACAATTGATGGGTTATACATTTCCGACCCTACTATATTTCAACACTTTTTAGGGCAGTCTGGACAAATACAAGCCCGGTCCACGAAACTCTTCCTGTTTCACGCCACGAGGCACGCGAACGATTCCAAGCTGTCCGCAGGATACCCCCGGCTCTTTACCAAGCCGGAAGCTGTACACAGCCATTACCGAGGACCCGCTCAAGCAAAGCTCCTTCTAGATAAATCCCTGGTTCACTACATCTGTGATTTCAACTTTCTTTCAATGTTCTACAACTACTTTCCTCTGCTTGCGCGCTGTTCAGGGATCCTCTATGCCGAGCACTGCATTTGCTCTTGACTCCATCGTTCACTAATAAGATACCTCCTCCGCGATCACGACCTCCTGTGTCTCCTCATTCAATCGCATTCAATCGCAAGAAAAAAGATGAATCGAAGGCCCATAGTTTCTTCTTATGGTCCGGATCTGCCCGCCCACGCCCTTGCTTCCCTCGTTGGAGTTAAAAAGCAATGACCTCCGCTCCCTCCTGCAAAGTTACCGCATCAGCCTACAAAACCAAAACTCCACCCTTGCAATTAGTTTGATTTTGCAAAGCAACACCTCTGCTAAACCCCTGTAACCTAGTGATTAGCCATCCAAGGGCTTATAGGCTTCATCTCGCGCTTCACTCACTGGCCTCCAACGCAGGATCCGCAGCCTGCGTGCCGTGCGCAATGACTCCTACAGCGCGGCCGCTGCTATCCACAATCATCAGCTCCTGACAAATCTTCAACTGTCAAATCTGAAACTGGTACAATTAGGCTGCAACACTATTTCAAAATTTCCATTGCGTCCCAAAGCACCCGTACCGCTACTCAAACCACTAATCCTACCCTGGAATTTCATTTTCATCCTGGCCTGAAACGGATTGCCTTTCTCCTTGGAACGCTGCACGCCTCCAAGGTTAGTCACGAAGCCCTTCACGTGGACGCACTCTCCCCAGCACAAGGGCGACACACAAACAATGGGACAACAAATCTGCCAAAACAAGGAGACAATTCCGGCCGTCGTCTGCGCGGAATGATTGCTATACAAATCCACTTTCCGTACCTAAGTAACTCCATCACTGAAAGCACCACCGACTGCAGAAACTCGACCCCACCCCAGCAACTGAAACCAAAAAAGTTTAAACTTCGTACATCTTCCAGCCTTCCAGTCCCAGAGGTCTTGAAAGTCGGCTACAACGATGCTCTCTGGCGGCGTGATCTTCAAATCACCACACTCTTTAGATACCACAGTGATCTTGGTCGCATCGCTCCCTTCCAGCTTCCGAATATGTGCCTCTCCATGCAGGTATCCAACAATACGCAATATCACCTTCTCCACCTTGACAGCCGGCCATTTTCCCGACGGCGCAGCATCCAACGCTGCTTGAAGCGCACCTGCACTCTTAGTCGAAGCTCCCCATAGGCTTCCCGAGATCAATCCTCCAGCGTCAGCCAATGTAACCTCACACAGCAATAAAGCACTCACACCCCTTGCCCCCCCCATGCCCAATATAACCTGCCCACATCCTTGCAATCAAATCACATCACATACCAGCTTCGAGTTGGCAGTCCGAACTTTGGAGATGTCTACGAGCATCGCATCAAAGGAGAAGGTGCTCTGCAGCAAGAGGTCCGCTGAATATGTATACAGGTCCGCCACTTTCTGCCAGAGAACACCACCAACTCATCCCACTTAACCACTGTCTCTGCACATATACTGCGTGCTGAGCGCTAGAACAAACAACAAATTGGTTGTATCTGCGATTCTTACTTCTCACCTGTTTCCGCGCACCACGTGCCCCACCTCAATCTTCACCTCTTGCGGCGCCACCGCTGCTGGAGCCACCTTTTGCTTCTTCTGCGGAGAAGCCATGTGTTTGAATCTCAACGAGCCACACCAACTGCGGACGCTCCCAATCATCGGCTTTCAATTGCACTGCATAACACCTTTCGGCCCCAACTTTCTTTTTAAAAGCCTCATATGTTTTATCATTGCACGGCCCATGATTCTGTGACTGCTTTCCAAGAACATTTCATTCTACTTGCTAGTGAAGTGGTATGGTTCATGCTACTTGGCCTGTATCAAAGACCTACAAACAACTCACTTAAAACGCCCGCTTCTGCCATCCCTCCGCTTTGCAACTGAGATCCCCTGACGGCAGTCTTCTTGTGAATCCTCTTCATGCCTCCCAGCGGTCTACCGATTTAGATTCCACCATCTCAGCTTCTTGGAGGCCAATTAGGGACCTTCGAGGATATTGCCGGAAAAAAGCTTGATAAAGCTGACAATACGCAGGAATTTACAAATAGAACATGCGCAGTTTCTCAGGTATTCTGCTGTGATGTTGGAGAAGGGGAGACTCTTCGTATGCTTCGTACGCTGGCAAAACAAATAGTGAGGGTTCGCAGTAACATATTATATATACATATGGTACAACCATCAGGTAGCTTCTTTTTTGGGGGGGGCTAGCATATATATATATATAAACAATATTACAAACAAGTTGATCTTTTTGTGCCCAAACTCGACCATTCTATTCTCTTTTGGTCTGGCTGTTTTGCCTGAATTGAAAGCAAGGGACCTGCTCACAACTAAAATCGATGAAGACTCACAAAATACGTCAAATCACATCTCAACAATTCTACCTCACTGCTCATTAAATCACAATTAACTAGAAAGAACCCCACGTTGCCCAACGGTGTCACCTCGCCTCAAGGTTGAAACCTGTGAGAGGGGTTGA